TATAATATATACACACACACACACACACATATATATATATATATATATATATATATATTATACTACTACTACTGGCGTAAATAGAGTATACCACACTCCACAGTCTAGGAATACTTATGGACATTTATGAAACTGGAGCGTGGTAGATCCGCGAATGGTACTGTTCAATGTAGATGTCAACAATAAATACATAAGACAATAATAAATTAATATTCAACACAAAGAGGTGCAAATTCAACGGACAATACAATTCAAATGCCCAAGCTACACAAATGTCACGATCACACCATCTCATTCACACGCGTTATATAACTTGCATAGCTTCGCTTGTAGAGGACATTGAGGAAAATATGTGATGATATTGTTTGTAACAAAACATATTTAGAGTTTAAAGTCAATGTGGTGTTATGGTCTTCTCCTGTTCCATTGGCGACCTCTACCCCTTACGTTCGTATCCAATCACCAAGTACACTAACGGAATCCGAATACGCTGGCTGTGGGATACCTCAATGTGCTGAAGAAGTCCAAAGTTCACACATATACAATATCCGATGACGCGACATTCATATAATTATTGTGTATATATTTTATCACGTATTCATATGTACATTCCAATAGTTATTATGTATGTTTAATATCACGTATTCAAATGTACATTCCTATAGTTATTATGTATGTGTATTATCACGTATTCATATGCACATTCCTATAGTTATTATGTATGTATATTACCACGTATTTATATGTACATTCCCATAGTTATTATGCATGTTTATATCACGTATTCATATGTACATTCCTATAATTATGTATGTTTATTATCACGTATTCATTTGTACATTCCTAGTTATTATGTTTGTTTATTATCACGTATTCATATGTACATTCCTATAGTTATCATGTATATTTATTATCACGTATTCATATGTACATTTATATAATATCACACCGGACGAACTACCGCACGTTATAGAACCCAGACGACCCCCCCGTCACCTGCAGGTCTGGTTGTTGCTTCATCTTCGGTTGGCTCTGTTGTGACTGTAGTTGTTGCTGCTGCGGCATAGGCGGTCCATGCGGCTGGTGCATATTGGGTGGGTACATGCCTGGATGTACCGATTGTTGTTGTTGCTGTGGCTGTTGTTGTTGTTGTTGATGTAGTGGTGGCATGTTGGTGTTATGCATCACAGACATCCGCATGGGGCCAGCGTTGTGTGTGTTCACCATGGCGTTGCTGAACTGTGGGTGTTGTGGGTTGTATGGTTGTTGCTGTTGCGGGGGGTGGTTATACGGCATATTCCCATGCGGTGGCCTGTTCGGTACATTCGGCCCATTTCCCGGAGGCCTGTTCGGTACATTTGGTCCATTCAGCCCATTCCCCGGAATGCCCCGTCTCATACTACCACGCGTGGACTGTCTGTTGTTCTGATTCTGATTCACATTCGTACTCAACGCTTTCCCACTCATGCTCATACTCGACTCCGCAGAGCCCCCCGGAGTATTTTGACTCCCGCCCATCACGTGTACACTCGATTGTGATTGGCCAGGAGCCTTCATGTATTGCTCCGAGAGTGCTACCACCGTTTTCTTGCGCGCATTTTCTCGCCTGCGCTTAATCACTAAACAGCAACAGATACAGCAACACAGACAGCAACACAATAGTAGGCCCAGGGCGATGGCGCCGCCTACGTAGTACATGGTCATATCATCCTCTGCGGCTGTACTGTTGCCGGCGTCGCCGGTGGAGTTCAGACCCTGTGCCAGCGAAGGGGTGACGTACCGCGTGTAAGTAGGTATGCGTGCGAGTACGAGTATATATATATATATATACAATATATATATATATATATATATCTGCGGGTATATATACTCATAGGTGTATATACTTACAAGTATATATACTTACAAGTATATCTACTTTTGAGCATGTATGCTTACGAGTAGACATGCTTGTAGTTTAAAAGTATATATACATGATTGAGTGTACAAGTACATATGATCGTCAGTGGACTTGGTTGCAAATTAATGGGCAGTGCAGGACGACGTTCAGTGCCTTTGCCACCGGCATGCCCAATCATCGCGTGCGAGTAAGTGTGTGTAATTGCGTTAGCATATGTGCGTATGTGTGGAGGTATGCATGCTTGTGTGTATATGTATGGAGGCTTGTGTGTTTACACGTATATGCTCTCGAGTGCACTTGTTTGTTAGTTATAGGATACAGCATACACACAACACGGGGTTTTAGAGTTTTAGGGTTTTAGGGTTTAGGGTTCTAAACCCTACATCCATATCCACAATGCAAAACCCTACACGTAGCAGGCGGATTTATTGAGTGAAGGTGCCAAGACGTTACCTCTATAAGATCTTGGACTTTAGTATCAACACCGGCCGAGGTCCCCACTTTAACTTCTCCCGCGTTGCGCCTTCGTCGCGAGTGTCTGGTATCTTTCGAATTGCTGGTAAACGACATGTCGTCTGAGTCGTAAATGTCGCCCAAGTTATGCGAGGTCTCAGCCATGCGGCGCCGCCTGAGCTCAGTACTCAAACTACTGTCGAGATAGTCTACCAGTACAGTGAAGTTCATAGTCACCTCCCGCAACTCCGAGTCTGATCCGGCACAGGAGAACTCCTGCGTGTCATATGATCAGACAGTTCAGTGGGATATATACATATACGTATACATATACATACCATACACATACACACACACACACACACACACACACATATATATATATATATAAATATAGATATATATATATCTATATAGATAGATATATATAGATAGATAGATAGATATAAGTATATA